GGGGGCAATATGCTGACTCTCTGTAAACCGCTTAGAGAGGGCTGAAAGCCCTATGAAGCGGTATATAAGTCTACTGCTATTGCTATTGCTATAGCTGAGCTGCATGGAAAACAATGGTTTTCTTAATAGCTCAGTGATCCTTCTTACCCTGCAAACGTATCTGACGTTCTTAGATATACAGTAAATGTATGTATAAAAGTAGTTGTTGTCAACACTCTTATAGCAGCATTTCCCCAGTGGTAGAGCAACTTTGCTCTCTAATTTTAAAGTTGATTTATGAAAGTTAATAACCTCCAGCTTCTATATAAATGTACAATGATACTCTAAGGCCATTCTCTAGCTATTAAACACATTTCCAAGTTTAATAATGCTTAGAACATGTTCATTAAAGCAGCTTCATTAAAGTCAAGAGAGCAGATTTTTCTCCTATAAACAATTCCTCCCCCCTCCCTTCCCCGTGCTAAGGAAGACTGTTAAATTAACCAGAACAGCATATTCTGAATTTTGTACCAGTAAACAAATCTGGGATTTTATTTGTAGCAGAATTACATATGAACCATGCTGAAAAGACACTCTTGGACTTGATAGAATCTGTGGTTAGGAGCTAGTATGAAAAAGTCACGGTCATTTAAAAAAAAAAGAATTTTAACTTAGTTTGAAGATGATTCCTCTCTTTTTATAAGCAATGCTTGGAAGCAGGAACAAATGAATGATTACACAGCTGAAACTGTTTTTATATATCCCATTTTCAATAGCAGCAATACTAACTCAGATTAGTACTGTTATAGCCCACCCTTCTGCAACGCACCGTACACAATTTCTCCACAATCCTTTTCTCACAATAAAACAGACCGAAAAGACAGCAAGTAGTTCATAATCATTCAACTTAGTAGATGGATAAACAGATTTTGGCAACACAACTCCCCACAACACATACCCGAAGCATGCAAAATCTGCTTTTAATTTGATTGTGATGGGGGTACGGAAAAGGATCCAATCCATTGCCGGAGCCTGTTGTATTTCCATCTTTGTGGGCCAAATGATGTCACTGGGGTGGAAGCAAAAGGCAAGCCCCACTCCACACAAAGTTGTGTGTTGTCTTCAATAATTCCATTTGCTTTTAGCATCTTCAATTGGCATTTAATCCCTTTGTAGGATTATTGTGCATTCCATTCTCTGCCAAACCGCTACTCAGCTGTATAAATCCTACATCGGGTCTAAAAACACTATTCTTTTATAAAGATGGGTGCCAGATGTGGAATCCACAATACAGACAGCATTACAATTTGGGGAAAAGTCAACCAAGGTGATTGTGTGGCAAATCAAGGAACATCAGATACATTTGAAATCTGCAAATGCTAAGCATTACTGGTCATTGAGCATTTGTCCAGCTCTGCAGAAAGAGATAAGGAGAAAAAGGTTGCTGGCTGACTTGGAGGAAAACAGAGTATTTTGTTTTTTCCTTTGCTTGACTACTTGAGAGAGAATTGTTGGTCTGTTCGGTGTCACAAAAAATGTAGCAATGGTAGATTCTACGTTCCACATTCCCATTCCCAAAGAGAAAACACAAAAGGTATTTTGCATGGCTGCCATGAATCATGAAAGTTCACAACAGAACTGAAACTGTGCACCAGAGGTGGATTCCTACTGGTTCGGCCTGGTTCAGCCGAACCAGTAGTGGTACGCCGACCTGGATTGCAGAACCGGCAGTAACACAGGCTGGCCACGCCCCTGAACCAGTTCCCTGGTTGCTGCTATCGCATCTCTTTTTTTAGTTCTGCACATGTGCAGAACAATTTCCATTGAACTGTGTGTGTGTGTG